CGGGGAGGCCAGGCTGGCAGAGCTGGGGTTGTTCAGCCTGGAGAGGAGAAGGCTCCAGGGAGACCTTAGGTGGCCTCCCAGAACCTGAAGGGGCTACAGAAAGCTGGGCAGGACTGGTGACAAGGGTGTGGAGTGACAGGATGAGGGGTGATGGTTTTAAACTCCAGCAGGGGAGATTTAAATGAGGCATTAGGAGGAAATTCTTTACACTGAGGGTGGTGAAACACTGGAACAGGTTACCCAGAGAAAGTGGTTGATGCCCCACCCCTGGAGACATTCAAGCTCAGGCTTGGTGGGGCTCTGAGCAACTTCTCTAGTTGGGGATGTCCCTGCTCCCTGCAGGGGGTTGGACCAGATGAGCTTGAAAAGCCCCTTCCAGCCCAAATCAGTCTGTGATTCTGTTGAGCAGTGCTGCTCCCCCTGAGCTCCAGGCTGCAGTCACCTGGGACCCTGCAGCAGCCAGGCAAGGAGCAGCTTCCCAGCACCACAGGGCAGGGCAGACATGGGAAGCTGAGCTCTGGGAGACTTAGAATTATGCAGAGCTGAGCTGATGCTCTGGTTTTTTTTGTTTGAACTAGCCTCCAGCAGCCTGAGTCATGGAAGTGTCACGTTCAGACCCAGGCTCAGTTGGACAGCTCATCCCTGTGGGGTGCACACGTGCACTCACATGGGTGCTTTCCTTCTGTGCAGGAATGGGGCTTCAGGAATTCCCTGCACAGAGGCTGTCCCAGGACAGCTCTGGTGCCCACTTCTGTAGGCAAACACTGGTCTGACTCAGCCTGAGCAGCTGAAAGGCTGTTTCTGGTGAAGGCTGCCTTCATGGAAACCCCAACTTCAGGCACATCCCCTGTCCAGTGCCACGTGTGATGAGCTGTTGGAGCAGTGTGTGCTGTCTTCCTCTGCAAAAACTGTCAGCTTGTCTTCAGGCTGCCTGTTAAATCCTCTTACATGGCTGGGTTCAGAAGGCTGCTGATGAGTCTTGTCTGGCTCTAGAATTATGGATTTTTTTTTCCCCCCCCTAAAGCTTTAATATTTTTTTTTCCATGTCTTAGCTGTAATCCTGTAATACCCCTGGAAGTTTCTTTTTTCCTGTTCTGGAAACTTCTCAGAGGCAGCCTGTCCCTCTGGGTGAGGAGAAGTAATCCCTTCAGCTGCTCTGAGCACTGTCTGCTTAGAGACACTTTCCTCCCAAGACATTTTGGAGATGATGATTGCCTGTATGCAGCCTGTGCCATTTTTTGTTTGTTTCAAAGAATCTCCCACAGATTTGTCAACAAATCAACGGCCAGAGACCCTTTAAAACTCATTTTGAGAGTGGCAAAATAACCTGTGAGATGAAGCCTGATTTTTGTGATAAACAGCCTCCAATGCTGTGCCAAATTTTGACTCTCCTGTGGATTTCAAGCCTGTCAGTCCTCACCTGCAAGACTGAGAGAGTGCTGCCTGGGTTTGACTCTGTCTCCTCCTCAAGATGTGAGGAGCTCTTCCATATCCCATCCATACTTTCCTCCCTTGCCTTGCCCTGGGAGGACATTCTAGCTGTATGAATTTCTGCCTCGTGCTGGAGGTGGAATTAGAAATGCTGAATTTTAACTGCTTTGAAAGCTGAATCTTGTCAGCCTCAGCTGTTTGAGGTACAGAATTCTAGACCCAGTGGCTCCTCAGTGGAGAGCAAGTGTGACTTGGGGGGATAAATCACCCCTGTTCTGGCTGCTGCTGAGGGCACAATTTGAGCAGTCTTGGTCTTACTGTGAAACCTAAAGGAGAAAAAAAACAACTTCTCTCTTTTTTTCCCCCAGGAAAGCAATATTTGACACCCCAGAAGATGATCCCAACTACAACCCCTTGCCAGAGGAACGCCCAGGAGGATTCGCCTGGGGGGAAGGTCAGCGCCTGGGAGGCTGAGAAGGGTCTGTGCCAAAATCCAGCCAGCACTGGGAGAGACTGACCTGAATAAAGTTCCTGACTGGGGATTCTCGTTGCCCACCACAGCAAGGACACTTTTTTTGAACAGCTCTCTGGTTTTTGAATAGAAGCACTTTATGAAATGACACTCTTAAGACACTTCCAGCTTACCAGTGGCTTTCCCTGTCAGGGAATTTATTGTGCTGGTGATGAAAATGCTCATCCAGTGGAGCCAAAAATCTGAAACTGGAAACTATTTCATATCAACTGCAGTTAACAAGACCACGAGTACTCATTTAAAGGGAAATCAAAAGCAATTTTTTCAAGTTATTTGATATGGGAAACTTTAGAGGGGACAAACCCAGCTTTTTGGGTTTCAACTCATTTTTTTTATTCTTGGATACAACAGCTACAAGGTGGTTTGAAGCCTAAGTCCCTATTTTGATGGTAAAAGTGTGTTTTTTTTAATCTGAGATGCTTGTTTCAGTTGTCATACAACCCACAGCATAACATGGGCTTTTCCCTCTGCCAGTTGGGTGTCTGGAATGTGCCTCAGTGTGGGTTTATGGCAGGCTGGGACTACCTTTTGATGGCTTTCTCCCCAAAGATGATGTGTTCAGGTGACCAGCTCTGAGCCTGGTTTAAACAGGTAGTTCTACAAAATCCCCACGTGCACACTTCTGACAGTTTTCCATGACTTGGAGCACTGGGGAGGAAGAGGTGTCTCAAGTCAGAAGCACTCAGATAGCTGGGATGAGGAGTTGAATAAAATTGTCTTGTGGATCCTTTTTGGGTAATCCTTTATCAGCCTGTAGTCCTGAGGCAGCTGGTGCAAAAGCAGCTCCCTGAAGAGATGGTGTTAATGGAAGCTGTTCCCACCAGCACCTCCCAGAACTGCCAGGAAATGGGATTGTCAGCTCAAGGGGTTCAATTTGTGGTCTGGGGGTGAAGCTTGTGGGAGGACCCAGTGTCCCACACAGGTCAGTGACACCAGCTGGGACCTGGCCTGAAGTTCCATAGGTCATAAATGTCTGAGGAGCCACAGAAGGAGTTCAGAGCACAGTCCCATTCAGTCACTGGGACACTACAGACTGGGCTGTAGCTCTTTATTGATTATTTTGTAATAGATGACCCCAGACAGTGCTGAAACTGCATCTGTCTCCCAAATCTGGGACCTCACTCTTGCCCTTGACACACGTGATCATCTTGTTTAGTCTCAGGTTTTGCTGTATTTAAAAACTGGCTGTGGATTTTTAACTTGCATGTAGCCCAGGAGTTGAACCCATTGGGATCTGGTGGGGAAATGTTAAATTCTGAGAAACAGAATTGGTGAGGCCCTTTGGTGAGGCATTTTCTGTTGAAGGCTGTAAAACTTGAAGGGGATGGTGTTGTCTTCTTTTTTTTCCTCTCCAAAGCAGACTTGAAGTCTTGCACTCTAGGAGCATTAAAAATGTTTTGGGCAATGTTGCTTCAGGGTAGCTTATGAGACAGGAATTGGGTCAAAATGGGTTGTTTTAGTTCATTAAGAGCCTCCTAGCAATTTGCTGGTGGGTAAAACCTTCTGTAAATGCAGAGCCCTGCTGTGATGTGGGTGAGGTGATGTGCCCTGGCCTGAGGACCATCTCCTGGTCTTATGGAGCCACCTTTTGATGAGACAACTGTCCTCACTCTTCTAAAGCTGCTTTCCTCATGCACTCCCTTGCACTCTGGTGGGGTGTTCAAGATTCTCCTCTCCTCTTCACCAAGTAACACTGGCATCTGAATCTGGTAAGAACCTGGGAGTGTTGCTTGCTTGCACCACGGGACAAAATTGGCTATTTCTGCCAGATCACTGCAAAACCTGGCCTTGAATTGCCCTTGAGACCATTCTTGAGCAGCCTGTCCCACAAAAACACGTGCTTAAATACCCGAGTCCTCTTTGAAGGGTGTGCATAGGTCGTGGGTGGTGCCTGAGGTTATCTGGGGCAACAGAGCACCACTTGGAAGGATGTAGGAGTTGAAACTTATTGCCTAGGTATGATCTGCTGGGGAATGGCAGAGTGGTTTGGGTGGGAAGGG